ATTAAAGCACCTTCTTTTGGTACCTAAGAACATAAGTATCCTAAAAAATGAATAGCCAGAGATTAGCACATTTTCCATTATATCAATAATTTACTTTCTAAACAGTCTCTTGCAAAAAGTGTTTGAAATATTGTAGTTTTGGGTTGTAGTTGTTTTGTTTTTGCAATAAATCTGACCAACACATGTAGCTAGAATTGGTAAAACAAATTGGAAACTTCAGACAACCCTGATTAAATTTTACTTTTGTGGGATCAGTAAGAAGTGTGGTGCGAGCACCACCTAGTGTAAATCATGAGTAATTCTCAAAAATGAGAATTAAAAACTCTGCCTGGGACTAAAATAATTTACCCAAAGACATGTAGTCAATTTAGGTCAAATCTAGGTCAAAACCCTGGAACCAAATCCACATTTACTGACTGACAGCCCCATGCTTTTCTTCTATTGTTCTCCTAAAAAGCAAATACTTTCCACGAATGGAAATCCAATTTAGGTGACAAATTTATGATAACACAGGAATATTTGATTGTCTGATATGTCTAAAGCACTGTGAGAACTTTCACTGAGTTGTCAAAGTCAATTTCGTAGACTCTAAGGTGAGCAAGTTCTCTTTTTTTAATTTCTTGCTTTCAGAAGAATGGATCCCTGAGGCCTCAGTAGCTTCTGTCATCAGTACTGCCAAACAGTATGCAACCTCTGAAATATGCCTACACGGAACAAATGAGATGATTTAACTTGCCTCTGTGGCCCTAATTTTAAAATGTTCATAGCTAGCTTATTTTTTTTTTTTTATTTATTTTATTTTTTAATTTTTTTTTGAGACAGAGTCTCACTCTGTTGCCTGGGCTAGAGTGAGTGCCGTGGTGTCAGTCTAGCTCACAGCAACCTCAGACTCCTGGGCTCAAGCAATCCTCCTGCCTCAGCCTCCCGAGTAGCTGGGACTACAGGCATGCGCCACCATGCCCGGCTAATTTTTATATATATATATTTTTTGTTGTTGTTATTGTCCAGCTAATTTCTTTCTATTTTTTCAGTAGAGACGGGGTCTCGCTCTTGCTTAGGCTGGTCTCGAACTCCTGAGCTCAAACGATCCGCCCGCCTCGGCTTCCAGAGTGCTAGGATTACACGCGTGAGCCACCGCGCCCGGCCAGTTAGCTTAAGCCAGATAATTTTTTGTGTTTTCCTCAGAATGTCGTCCTTCCCTCTTCACAATCACGGCCAGCCCCACGCCACGTGTGAAATGAGCCAGGTTTGGGGCGGTGCTTCTCTTCCTTTCAGTTCAGCCTTTCTCCCCTTTGCCTCTTTTCCAGGTACTACCCCACCCCCAGCCCCCAAAGAGCCACAGGCTTCTCACCAATTTTCCATTCCTTCAGCGTTCTACAAGTTAATGTCAAATTAAACAATAATTGCGTTTGCCATAAAAAATCTTTTCTGGAATGAGGTAAAATATGAATGAATGAAGGAATAAATATCAGACAAATAAATAATATTGTTTGTGCTAAGATATAAATGCCTCATCATGGCACATGTTCTATTCTTCCTACACAACTTTTGAATTTTCCTAGAAATCCCGAGAGGAATTCAGACAAATTTAATAAGACTCATGGATGAGCCCATTTAGGGCAGAAGGGCCATGCACATCCTAGCTCTGAAAGCCCTGTCCTCAGTGACTGTTGTCACTTTCTTGTGTAAACTCCCAAAAGGCACTCCTTGAATCCATTTTATTCTCCATTTTCTTCATCTATAAAATGAAAAACTTTAATAACTATTTTGTATGATTATTTATATGAAGCTTCAAAAGGATCTACCATATACTTAGTAATCACCAGTCACTCAAAGTATGGCGATGATAATAATTATTCCTGTTGATATGTGCTTAATAAGAAATCCATTCTGGGATTTTAACAGGTAACAATAATATCTGCCCCCACCCTTTGTTTGAGCCAATGCTTCCATTTTTAAATAGCTGCAGATTTTTGATGTTCTGAGAGTTGTCATCAATAACTGAAAAAGAAATGAGATCTACTCTGATTAATCAGTCCTAGTTTTTGCTAAGGAGATGCTGCTAATGGAAACAAAAGAGAACAAAGGAATAGGAGGAAATCTACTCTGGCAAATAACATAGAAAAGAATCAATAGATCTAGGATATTCACTTTAAAGTCTTTATCTTACTTTATACTCTGGCAAATAATAATAATGATAGCTTTTGCTATGTATCAGGCACTGTCAGCAATTTACAATATTCACTCATTTAATCCTCGTAATAATTTACCACTTTACACATTGAAAAATATTGAAGCACAGAGAGTAAAATAAGTAACTAAAGCCATGAGAGCAATGACAGAGCTGTACTTTGAACTTGACAGGTCAGGTGCCACAGACAGGGCAACGGAACAGTGAGCTTTGGTTACATTTTCTTCTTGTTCCTCTCTCTCCCTCTCTCTCTCTTTTTCTCTATCTCTCTCTTTCTCCTGCTTCCCAATCATCTGCTGAAGGTGTCCAAGCCACCCAAGCAAAACTAAGGCTAATGTTTTATTTCCGTTTGTAAGTAGGACACCTCCCCTGAAGTCATTCAGAGTGTAAGAATATTCAAACCTATTCTGCCCAGATCACAAAATATTTCTGGGCACATGAAACAGAATGGATTTTTTTAAATTTTTTTTTCTCTTTGTACAGAGTTAAGTTTCCAGACAGCTGCTTTATAGCTTTATTGTCCCCTTTTAGCCTGGTTATCTGACAGTGTTAATTAAGACTTTATAGCTATTGACTAAAACAAGTGGCTTATACAAAGACAATGGCCAAATGGGCGTGAAGAGATTCTTTAATGAGCCCCAACTAGGTAGCTTTGGTAGAAGTGTCTACTTGCTATGACAAAATACCATAGGTTCCCTATAATAGCTTGATTTAAAAAAAATCAGTAGGAAAATTCAGTTTTGCATTTAAACTGCTATGGACCTTTCATTCTCCTTTGTCTGGGTTCTTCCTCAGCAAAAAAATAAAAATTAAAAAAAAATCATTTTATCGGCAAATATTTTCAATCAACAAGCCTGATACATTTATATATATACACGCACACAAACACACACACATGTGTGGACATTATTGTGTGCATTGCAATGAATAGGTGATTTAGGATATACATCATTCAGAATATATGTCACTGCTAGCAGTAATGAGGAGGGACTTGGCTTCGTTTTTCTAAATGAGAGATAATACCGTATAATACTATGACCCAAGAGTTATGTTTTTCTTCTACATTTTCGTGGAACAAGTTACTTATTTTAAATACTTGAAATTCTGTTTTGTTGCAGTAACTGTGATAAAACACTAGTGAGGTGACTCATTGTTAAATGATAATAGTCATCACGTGTTTGCCACTCATTAGCATGATTGAAATGGTAAAATGTGGCAATTGCCATGCATGGTCCATTCCCATCATAGTTTTGTCAGGGTTGGTTTTATGAGTGAGCTGTCCTGGTTCTTTGGCTCCTTGCTTGGAAGAATCACAAGCTGGGCCAGTGCAGATGAGTGACATAGACACAAGCAACTCACACAAGCAGCTTTATTACGGGAAACAGAAAGTTTTACTGAGCAAAAGTAAAGTGAGCATAAGTTCCGGAAAGCAGAACGGGTCTGCTTCAAGAGTGGAGGAAGCCCCGAGTTTAAGAAGATTCCCCCTTTTTATGTTGGTTCCCTAATTCTATGGAAATATTCATGATTTCTCTGAGAAAGGGGTGGAGAATCCCTACAAGTGGTATCCTCCCACTTTCTGTCCTTGTATGGCTGGCTCAGAACTGTCATGGCGCTAAAGGATGTGATTTTTATTATGCTAATGTATGTTAATGGAGAAAAGGTTACCTTTGGTCATAGGCTCCTAACTTCTGTGCATGCTCCAGGTTGGGAAAAGTCCCTAACCTCAAATTTCTGCTGTTGTGGTTTCTTTCCTCTATTGCTATTGGTCCTGACTCTCATCCCTTGACCACTTCCCTGCCACCTGCAGACCCTAAGCCCTACCTAATGGTATCTTCTCCCAGCATCAAGAATTGAGGATGTTGGTGAAATCACAGACAGGCAGGAAGATGAATTAACAAATTCAGGTGCCCACCACCTCCATTACCAGAGAACAATGACAAGAGCATCTGGAACGAAAAGGACAACAATCATGGTGATAGCTACTATTTGTTGAATAATTATCCTTTGCAAGGCATTATTAAATTGTTTTACATATATTATCTCATTTACTGCTTCCATGAAGCCTATCAAATCTGTACTATTATTAATACCATTCCACAGAGAATAAAATAGAGACTTAGAGACATGATGTAAATTGCCCAAGATCACACAACTAGTGAGCAGAAGAGCTAGAATTCAAACCCAGGTAATCTGAATCCAAACTCCATGTGCTTAACAGTTTAACTCTCCTCCAGGATTTCTCAACCTCAGCACTGTTGGCACACATGCTGGGATAATTCTTTGATATCAGGAGCTGCCCTGTGGGACTATAGGATGCTTAGCAGCTTAGCAACATCCCTGGCCTCTGCCCACTAGATTCCAGCAGCTTTTCTCCTCTGCTTCCCTCCTCCAGTTGTGGCAGCCAAAATGTCTCCAGATGTTGCCCACTCTCCTCCTGGGGACAAAATTGCTCACCTGCTTCAGTGGAAAACTATTCTAACCTTTCTTTATACTGATTATATAACCTCATGTCATTAAATAATCTTTAGAAATATAATTGTAATGGCTGTAATATATTTTATTGAATACTAAATTAAGGCTATACCTAAAATAATACTTTCGATTATTTTATAAGGAAAAATTTATGTTTGATAACTTAAAACAATCAAGTTCTTTGAAATCTACCCTTTTGTTGTAAAAGGTAAGCCTAGTCAATAAAATAATAAGCAGAGGGTGATTTATATTGCAAAGATCATTAATTTAATTTTTTAAAATATTTCACCATTTTTCACCTGGCATATTTCATAAGATAAAATGAAGGAGATTTATGTCAGTAACAAATTTCTTTAATAGTGAAAGAGTTTATTTGGTTACTGTATACAGATGTAGCCTAAGTTAACAATCAAATAAAACATAATTGCATGCATATATTTCCGAAAATGAAAATAAATTCATTATCCAAATGTTTAAAAAATCATAATTATCAGAATTTTATTATTTTCCTAAAATGTCTAATAAATCAAAATTTACTAAAGCTTTGGTTTTGTTTTTGTTCCTTTTAAGATATATACTTATATATATATATTAAAAGAATATATTTTGCTATTTCTTCCTACATCATTGACTAAATATTTAAGTGCCTACTGCTACATTACCTACTTCAGGAAAGATAGAAAAATTATGGTCTGCATTCCTGAGGAAATTATTTTAGAAACAAGTCATACATACACAAAAGCCCTAAGAATAAGAAAAGACAGTGTAAAGCAACTAGTAAAGTATTTTATATAATTCATATTGAAGTAAAACACATACGCACACATACACACACACACACTCCAAAGTTAAGGAAGATAATAAAATTCATTTAATAGGCATGTTCCATATAAACGATTTGTCACAAATTTTGCATTTTAAAGGGCTACATGAAAAATCACAGTATGCACAAACTAGAAGCAAAATGTATCAGAGAAAAATATCCTAGAGATATTTATTTTGTCAAACTTTTACAATTTTTCCAAATCTTTTTTAAAGTTTGGGAAAAAATCTGGTACATTTTTGGTTAAAAACAAACACATTCTATCCATGTGAATTTTGACTATTCTATTGTTCTTTCTTACCAAAAAAAACATAATTTCTTACAATTCCATAAAGTTTTAAATTAATGGTGTTTGGTTTACATTTACCAAGAAGTGGTTTTCACATCACCACAAAAATTAAATTAAAAATACATCTGTTTAAATAAATCCAAAAAAGAACAGTGAATTTTGTTGGGTTTATCGACAATGATATGTATTTAAGTGATCATGCATTTTTAACCTTTTTCTCAGGTGCAATTTGGAAGTAACCTGCCTTTTAATACCCTACATTGGACATCATTGCTGCAATCCAAGTGAGTAGCGTCATGACAAAATTATCTAATACACACATGTTGCTTAGGGCTGCAATGTTACCATAGTTACCAGCAGATCAAACATCTCAGGAAAACAGAGCCACTAACTCTTTCAACGTGCAAAAATTCAGCACTCTTGACAGATTATGAGTCTTCATTTTCCTTCATTTTGGGGCTTTTCGGATTGATCTTGTGTTGTTACTTCATCTTTCTCTTTTACATCTGAAAAAAAAATTTCCATTCCTATGTAGAATATATTAAAATATGTTTTATATTATATTCGAACAAACCAGTTCACTTTTCCTTTATCCACCCTCGTCATTTTCTATTTGACTGGGACACATTTTGCCTTCAATCCAGATACAGAAACTATACAAAGAAAGGAGATAAGAGTAGGCTTGGAAATCTATATTCTCCTAATCAACCTTCTTTCCTATTCTACAGGGTGATTAAGTACCAGTTAGTCTTTTAAGGTATATTACAAACTTCATCAATAAATTGAAACACAAATAGTGTGATTTGCCCAAAGTCACAAAGCTAGTAAGTGACAGAGTCACAACTTGGACCTGGCCAGTTGGTTCTATGGTCCATGCCCTTAACTGTCTCTCTATGCTGGATCACACTCTCTCCAGCTTCTTCACCCTTTCTACTCACTTTGATCTTAGGAGATGACTTTACTTTCTACTGCACAGGACAAAAAAATGCAAGCCATCAGATAAAAGCATCCTCAACTTCCTGCCATTAAATGTCTGAAACCCCCTGTGATCTGTGCTTATTTTTTCTGTATTCCCTCCTACTACAATCAGCACTGGCTATGTAATTTGTCGGCACCCAGAGCAAAATGAAAATGAAATATGCTTCTTGAAAATTTATGAAAAATTTCAAGACGATTAACAGTAGAGCATTTAACCAAGTGTGAGTCTCTTCTGAGCTCGGGGCCCTGTGCAACCGCCCTGGTTGCACACATTTGGAGCTGGCCCTGGTACTGCTCCTCCTATCCAGGTCTAACGCCGTCATGGTACCAGATCCTATCCCTTTCTGCTTCATCAGGAGACTGACTCTAATGATCTTGTCCCCTTCTCTATTTCTCCTGGCTTTTCCATTTCCTAGAGTCACTACCATCTTCAAACTAACAAGTATCCTCTTTCAACTGCAATTCCTCCACCACACTGTCCTCTCTTTTATCCTTTGAAAGGCACTGTCTTTTGCTGTCTCCATTTTAAAATAAAACTATTTAAGTCTCTACTCTTCCTCCCAAATTGCTTGTACCAGTCACCAATAGCATCTTAGAAGATAAATCTGTTGGACTCTATTCAGTTCTTCAACTTTCATTCATCAAATAGTTATTAAGCACGTACTACATACAAAGTAGTGAACAAAACATACATCCCAGCTCTCAGGGAACTTCTAATGAGAAATACGGACAATAAACAAAATAAGTAAAACGTGTAGTCTGTGGGAAGTGAAAAATACTAATGAGAAAATAAAAGCATGTGTGGAAAATAGGAATTATCAAGACATCTTGGGAACTGAAGTTTGCAATTTTAGATGGGGTTATCTGGGAATACCTCACTGAGAATGGGGCATTTGAGTGAAGACCCCAGACAGAAAAGGAGTGTTCTGTATGGACAGAAGGGAGAGGAGCATTCTGAGCAGACAGAATGGCAAGGTGTAAGGCAGCAATGTGTAGGAAGGAACTGCAAGTGGGACAATGTGGAGAACAAAAGGACAGAAAATGGATTCAGAGAGGTCCCCCAAAACTAGATCTTGCATGTGAAAAGTGGCAGATTTATGGACCAATTTCTAAAGAACAGCTGACAGTATTTGCTGATGGGTGGGATAGAGAATGTGAGAGAAAGAAGGGAGGCCAGAAGATTCCAATATTTTTGGCTTTACTAACTGGAAGTATGAAATTGCCCCTCACTGAGATGGGGAAGCAAGGCAGGAAGAGCAGGTTTCAGGGAGAATATCTGGAGTTCACTTTTGTACCCATTAAATTTGTGATTCCAGTTAGATATCCAAGCTGAGATGCCAACTCAGCAGTTGGGCATGTGAGTGTGAAGTTCAGGGGAGCTCCAGGCATGAGATAAAAATCTGTGAGTTATCAAAAAGATGATCATTAACCCAATGACATTGGATGACTCACAAGTGAAGGGGTGTTGATAGAGAAGATGCCCAAAGCCTGAATTCTGATACCCTCCCATCTGTTGAGAGATAGGGGAGATGAGGAAAGAGAAGCCCAAGGAGGAGCACCCAGCAAGGCAGGAAGAAAACCAGGAGAGTGGAGTGTCCCGAAAACCAAGGGAAGAAAAATGCTGCAGGAATAAAGTGACAATCAATCCTGACAAACTTGCCAAGAGATCATGTAAAATGAAGACTAAGAATGGACCATTGATTTTGGCAGAGACAATGTCATTTGTGATCTTGAAATAGCAGTGGAGTGGAGTGGAGTCAAAATCTTACCTAGGGTTAGAGAAAGAATAGGACAAAGAGGAGGTGGAGGCACAAAAACAGATAACTCTTTCAAGCCATTTTGCTATGAAACAGAAACAAGAAATGGGACAGTAACGGGAGGGAGAATTGGGATCAAGAGAAAGTTTATATCTTAGAAGTCATACTTGGTTGCCTTTTCATTAACATAGCAGGTGTGTAATAAGTGTTATTGAAAGAACTCCCTCAGAAAAACAGGCTTGTTAGGAAATGGTACTCTGAGGCAGTATGAAATACCAAGCATTAAATTATTTTTATGATTTAAGCAGCATTTGCTACCAGTGATTCTACGCAAACTACTCACAAAGCATTACAGCTTTCAGAGAAAAGCTGTTAGTTCTGCCATCTCTAAGCTAGTCTAACAAGGTGATGATATAAAGTCCCCTTAAGTAGTTAGTTCTCTTTCTATGAAATGAAGTAGGAACTCAAGAAAATGGTTAGATGAAGACCAGCAGAATACCATCTGTTGAAGATTTAGTGTCTTGCTCATGATTATCAGCTAAAATATGAAGCATAGTTCCAAACACCTCTTATACAAGAATGTTTAGAAATATATTGAAAGATGATTGGAGATAAAAGAAAACAATAAACTTCTGAAAGAGGATATGGTTGCTGTTAACTTTGTAATTTGATGTTAATGAAAGGAAAACAGCAGTCAAATAACAGTTATTTTCCATACATAATGCACTTTCAGGGATAGTTGTTATTATTGTTATTCTTCTACCTTTTGTACTTGCCAAATACTTTCAAAATAATTGAATATATTGTCAATATAGTTTTTTAACATAATTTCTCTGAGAGTGAAACATCAAACTTTCCTTTCAAATCTGCCCATCACTTCAAATGTGAATAAGCTTTGTTGTACATTTGTTTATCTCATTATCTTTGTCATAATTAAAAACTTTTAAGAAAGTAAGAAAATGTTGCTTCCTAAATTATCTGGATTCTCTTCTCTGGAAGTCTAGCTTGGAAAAAAAAATTATTTTATATATATGTATGTAGTAATCTGTGTTATTTTAAATAAGGATTACATTCAGAACCTAATGATGTATCTTTTAGTAACATACCACTTGAACTGTATACTGAATTCTGCTTTTGATTAATATAGATTTAAAATAAATCAGAATAATCCATTTTTTACATTTTTCTATTTCCATCCTTGTGCTCTCTGCTCAGTTCCTTATATCAATAACTTTTTCCACTCCTTGTTAGAACACATTTTTGAAGTGCCTCATGGAACAATAATTCTATAAGACGTTTCTTCAGAGATGTGAAAGAAGTGAGGGAAAGAAATGCTGTTTATGTCCCATCCTTAGAGAGTTGTAGGCACAATAGCACATTAAAATCTCTGTTACAGAGGCTCTGAAAAGTCCTTGTTTAAAAAAGAAACTTACTGAAAAATTTAAAAAGCCAATTATGCTTAGACCAGCAAATCCAAACATTTCACCACAACACCATTTTTATATGTGACATATAAACATTAAGAAGAATTTCCATAAACATTCATTGGTAAAAGTTACCATAATGGGAAAGATGAAGGCCTCAGAGCCAGAGGTTCTACCATCACCTAATTTTGCGAGCTTGGGCAAATCACTTCACCTGCTTGGGGCTTACTTATGGTAACATCTGTATATCAGAAGGATGGACCTTCTAAAGTTTCTTCTTCTTCTTACATTCTGTGTTTGCATATGCACTAAAAAGATAATCTATTCATATGGCTTGTGTGGTATGGGACGCTTTCATTTGCACTGTTTTCTCCTCTATCATATAAAATACATTTTGAAAATACATACTCAAATTTTTAAAAATGTACATCTCTGAATGTTTTTTCCTCTGGTCAGCCAGAGCTATCTATCCTATTGCTTAGTTGACATGTCCATTTACATGGCTTTTAGGCATCTCAAATGGAATATGGAGGGAACAGGAATATTCATTTCTCTAACTCTCAAAATTGGCCCTGCTTCAGGCTGGCCTTTCTCAGCATATGGCAACACCACCCACCTGGTTGCTCTAGGAGTTATCCTCCAATTCTCTTCCTCATCTCTGATGCATCCAATTCATTAGTGAGTCCTATAGATTCTGCCTATAAAACATGTCCAAAATCCACCTACCTTTCTCCATTTTTACTGCCTATTTAAAGCCATCATCTCTCCCTAGACTACTGCACCAGTCTCCATGGGTAAAAGTTAACAAAATCCTTTCTTCTTCTCTAAGGACAAATTTGACTTGGGGTTAATTTTCTATCTCTGTTACCTTGGAAATCACACGAAGATAGAATGTCAGCCTAGTTACTAAGATTATCGTTAAAAATGACCCAAATAGTAAAATACATCTGTGATGAGAGAAACTACATAGGAACTATAAATACCTTGTAGAAAACCACAGCATTGGGCTTCCCTGCATGCAGTAACTCTTGTAACTGAGCATGTCTCTCCCAGGGAGGCTAGGAAGCCTTGTCCAAGGACTTGCTACAGAGTATTAGCTCATGCAGGACATGAGGCTTCTAATGCATTGCCCACATTGTCATAGACTGTGCTCTTTTGTAACTGAGTCCTTCCTTAGTGAGGTGAGGGGACCACACAGAGACTAGCCTCCAGAACCCCTATGTGAATTGCCGCAAGGGCTCCGGTAGGAGATTAGGTGATGCTGCCCTGCTGGCCCTCTGAGTTTCTTGACTGTACTTCTGAGTAGAATGGTACCAATGTGTTCTTGTGAGGTTGAATGTTTAATTGGACCTAAAAAGATTTCTTAATGGGGGGCTGCATCTCCTAATTCAACCATTTCCATTATTGCTATCCCATAATCCATTCCTCACATAACATTGAACATTTTAAACATCAATGAGATGTCACTCCCTGCTGAAATCCTCCCATTCAAAATAAAAGTCAGCCTCTTTCCCAGGTTTCTAAAACCCCACAAGACTTAGTTGTTGCTAATCTCTCCCACATCATCTTGTACCACTCTCCCTCTCACCCCCTGCCCTCAAGCTGCAGCGGCCAGCTTTTATGTTTCTTAACAACATCCATCTTGGTGCACCCTAAGAACATTTACTGGATGCTCCTTCTGCAGAGAATGCTACTTCCTCTGATCTTCACGTGGCTGGACCATTCAGTCATTATTCAAAACATATAGTTGGCACTCAGATTTCAGTTAGGGTATTCCAGATTTCCTAATCTAAAGTAGCCACCTAGTATCTCTCTACCATAGCACCTTATTTTAATTCCCCAATCAAACATATTACTGTTGACATTTGCTTATATTCTAACTCTCCCATTGGAATATAAGATCCATGCCAGCAGGAGTTGATGTCTGTCTCATTAACCCTACACTGCTAGGTTTTAGAATGGTGCTTAGCACTTACTGGACCCTAAATTGAATGATGTATCTAATAAATAGTAATGGTGGAGGTTAAAAAAAAAAAAGGTGTACTTTGTGAGTTTTATGGTCTTCCATATGTCACCCTCTGTCTCTTCTTGCTGATATGTTATAAGGTAACATTGTCCACCCTATCATGGTTATTGATTTGTAAGGAATAGATTAGGACGGATAAATCTCATGTTAATTTCATGCAAGATGTAAGACATTTGAGATCCTAGATTCCCTTCCATCTAAGCATATTTACCAAGAAAATCCCACAAAAACTAAAAATAAAAGAGGATAGGCCTGAGTGAAAGCTGCAGATCTTCCCCAGAATTTGTATTTTTAAACAGCAAAAATACTAAAACCATAACATCTGAGACAGATCCTAGCTTTCTGTTTTCATTAACAATTGAAAACTATTCATTTAAAAGTCCTTAATAATATCTGTGCTTAGCTACTTATTTATAGCTTTGTTAATAAAACATTATCTATGCCATCTACCTATGGAAGCCTATTTCCTTTTGTGTGTGTTTTTCTTTTTTCTACTTTTTTATTTTTTAAATTGACAAATAAAAATTGTATATATTTATGCTGTACAACATGATGTTTAGATATATGCATACATTGTGGAATGGCTAAATAAAGCAAATTGATATCCATTAATATTTTGTGGTAAGAACACTCAAAATCTACTCTCTTAGCAATCGTCAAGTATACAGTACATTGCTATTGATGATACTTAACCATGTTGCACAGTGGATCTCTTGAATGCATTTCTTTTGCCTAACTAGAATTTTATCTACTTCGACCAGCAACTCCCCAATTCCCCCAACTCCCAGCACTTGATAACCACTATTCTACTCTCTGCTTCTAGGAGCTCGACTTTTTTAGATTCCACATATAAGTGGGATCATACAGTATATATCTTTCTGTGCTTGGCTTACTTCACTTCACATAATGTCCTCCATCCTTTCGTGTATTCTTTAACAGTTGGTGCTATATGCAGTTTTATTTTTAACATCTTACGTTTCTTAATTGATGCCTTTGACTATATTTCAAAATGATTTAAAGAAAAATATAAAACAGAAACAGTATTCTTTCAGATCCTGGTGTCTCTAGTCACTAAAATAAAATGGAGACTACTGACTCTCCCACAGCATATTTGCTCTCTTTTGCTTAAATACATCATGTCAGTAAACATTAAGATTGTGTGTGTGTGTTTAAGGTAGATAAATTTTAATTAGGCTTTTGACTAACAAATAATTATCTTCTTTACCTCACTAGTTTAGAATGGGCCCTTCAATAGCAATATCATATTCTGACAGTCATATTACATTTTCAAACTTAAAAGACCAAAAACATTACATATGTTTTTATTTCTTTTCTTCCCTTTATCTTTTCTTTCTTCTTACGATATTTTATGTGTATAAGTGTACTCTTTTACTCTCATGTGTAGTGTCCCATATGAAAAATGCAGTGGTCTTGGAAAAAGGTGAGATAACCATGGACTGCATGATCTGGCCACAGTCTCTGGCCGACAAAGATGTAAGTATTCCATAGATATAGAACCAGGAACATTTACAATTTTACCCGGTAGTATAGAACCTCCTGAGGCAAAGAACCAAGAGCCCTTTTCTTGGGCTCCCAGGAATGGGCTAGATTTGAGTAGCTTTTGGCTCTCCTTTGCCTCATTGCCACCAAGAATAAATTTCTACATGCATACTAGAGTCCACTTGAGACTCTAAAATGGAGCACAAGGCACAAGTATTTTGCTAATGGCTTGGAACTAAAATTATCTTTAATATCTATGAGTAAAGTTTTCTTTAATTTTGATTCATGTTGTCTTTTTTTTCCTAAATATCTATGAGTGTTTTTAAATGAAGGAACACTTTCAACATTTTATTGAAAGTACTCTTATGTTTATTTTTGAAAGACTAAACTCTGGAAGCTATTTAAACTGTATATAAGCAATGGAGAGAAAGACCCAAGACTTTTCATGGCTTGACAGCTCTACCTTTTTCGTAATGCTACCTTTTCTACTTGGTTGAAGAATGATCCCCTTTTATACAAAAATTCACTTTAAAGATCTCATGGCTAGTTGATAGTAATATTCTTCCTAGATATGAGAAGTAGAAGGGCATTTTACAGTGAAGCAGAAGCTTTCAAAGTGATTTGTCAAGGGATGGCAGGAGGAAAATTATTTTATTTGAGTGCTTATCAATAAATTTTGTAAGCTCATTGAGGAAAGCATCCTACTTGTTCACATTTGCACTCCCAAATATGAGCCTTATACATAACTATACACATTTAATGAATAATAAAACTTCAATTTCCACAAACACATCATGAGACAAAAAGATGAAATTGTCTACTTTCAAAAAGGCTGAAAAATCCACTTACCCTTAAACAAAAGCTGAGAGGTTTAAGAAAACAAGTAAGAAAAAGAGCTCTTTTAACTAATTTAAAAGAGAGACTGTTCCAGAGAAAAGGATTGGTTAAAAAGAGAAAAGTGCTGCCGATTTTAAGAGGATTTTGAGTATTACCTTCCTTCACGGAGAGAGCTTCCAGTTTGAGGGGCAAATCTGAGGTTCCGCCTGTGGCAGCTGAACTCTGGATATCTGGTAAGGCATTCCGGCGGCCTGCCCTTGCTGAAGATGCAAAATTGGTGACCCCAGGCTCCACATCAGTCATTTTTGATGAGTCTGTCCTCATAGCAACATCTACAAATAGAATGTGCACATGAAGACGAAGATGAGCCCGTTCAGAGCTAAATGTTCACCACAGTGGTTGAAAGGCATGGCTAGATCAAAAACACAACAGGCTTAGAAGTCTAATCATTGATCACAACATCCATCAATGTCTACCGTTACCATCCTGGAGCTTCCATTTGCACATTCGCTGAGTAGAGCAGGAAGTCCTCAGTGTGAGCCAGATTGCTAAAAATAACCCCTGAGCCGAATAAGCCACTTGGATGCTTAAGGGTGCAGTAATCCCTTGTCTTTTGTTCTGCTTTTCTATGGATAGATCAGCCAAACTAGGGCTTGGAAGGAAATGAAAACTGACTCGTTTGACCACTCCTGTAGAGACTGTGCCTGCCAGTATTTGCTTGTGGTGCTTGTTCAGGCTGAAACCAAATCACTATAATTTGTAGGGACCAAATAAAACACAGTCTGCTCCTACACTTTAGAGATAAGAAATTCAACTTTATCTCAAAGGCTTTTTCCCCCCAGAGAAAGCTACGTTATTTTGGTCTGTTCTGGTCTCAGATGTAATTTTCGATAGACTCATGTTTATGCTAGAGACTGTAGGACCTATTTTACCCTTTCTTGCCTTCAAGTGGACATGATAATTACTAGTGTTTTGCTAAGCATCCTTTATCTTCCTAGCAATTGTCTCTTTCTAAGAAAGAATTCTCAATCATTTACTGTACAAGGAGGGAGGTAACAGTTATTGCTTATTCTGAAACTCAGCCTCTTTTGTCTGATGTTTTCAAATGAATCTTTCCTAAGAAGTCAACATTGAATAGTATCTCAAAAGCAGCAGAAGCTGTTAAGAATTTACTGAGAAGCTATTAAATGCCAGACTGTCAGCTAGGCATTGAGAGTACAGAAATATGCTATTTTCTCCGTCTTTAGGGGACCAGTACTCTCAAAAGAGAGAAAGAAGGTGTCTATGCCAAGATAGATATCATAACATAGAATGTGCTAATTATCAACCAAGGGAGGGAGATAACCATTTGTGCCGCTGAAGAAGGCAGAAATATGTGAATCCTGGCCCACACAGAGCAAACAAAAGTTTTCACAGTAGTTGGAAGAGAGCCCTTTGCAAATAGTTAACTTCAATTCAGGATATGCTAAAAATAAAATAAAATGGTCACAAAACAGGGTGCATTTGATATTAGAAACACAACATCTTTGGTCCATTGCACCCAAGAAATGTATATTGAGCCTAGGTGGTTCTTAGGAGTCCAGGAATAGTCTGAAATTGCTCAAGAAAGGAGGTATTCTATTAATTCCACATCTATTCTTGTCTTTCCAGAGATCATGGGAAATTTGAGAACAAAGCTAAGTTTTCAGAAACAATTTTGGAATCCATTAGACTTTCAACTGGTATTTGTCAGCTGTCTAGAATTGACAGATAGCTTGAAATAACATAAAGAGCACTGGACTGTTAGTCAAAATGAATTTGCTCCTTACAGACTTGCAAGGCAATGTTGGTCAATCCATTTAATTTCTGTGAGTCACAGTTCCTCCCCTGTATAATAGGAATAACAATTAGCCTGTCTGATTCACAGGATTCTTCTGAAGAACTAGTGAGATAAAGAATAAAGAAACTCTTTGCAACAATGAAGACATATGTTTGATTATTGGCATCATTGTTCACATCTCACTAAGTTTTCTTTATTCTACCACCCTCCTATGTATCCCCTTTAATCCTAACAAGAAGTATCTTCCTATTGGAAGACCTCTTGCATTTTAGACAGAAACCAGCATTGATTCAATACTACGTGCAGATTTTTATGTAATTTAAAACTCCCAATAATCCCACTCTCATTGAAAACTCCCAATAATCCTGTCAGGTAGTGAGGTATTATCTTCATTTTGTAGATGTGGAAACCGGGGCTCAGAGAAGTAAGAAACTCATTTAAAGTTGTACAGCTGCTAAACCAGCACTCAGAGAT